CTTGGCTTCACTCTGGAGAAGGGACTTGTATTTCTCTGTGTCTCAAAACATTTTTTTTTTTTTTTTCCGAGACGGGGTTTCTCTTTGTAGCTTTGGAGTCTGTCCTGGAACTCACTCTGTAGACCAGGCTGTCCTCGAACTCCCAGAGATCCGCCTGGCTCTGCCTCCAGAGTGCTGGGATTAAAGGCGTGGGCCACCACCGACAGGCTCAGTTTCTCCTCTCTATAAAGAAGCTCTCAGCATTTTCAGTTACATGGAGGGTGGGAACTTCCTTCAACAAACAGGAGCCAGGGCTGGGTTTGCAAGAGTGCATCCCCTCTCTGCGCCAGGCACTGCTACAAGGTTAAAGTTGAGGACACACAAAGACAGTTCAGGACCACACGTACGAAGCTGCACTGACCAGTCGCAAGGATCCTAAGAGCCCAGGCGTCCCGCTTCTGGTCCCCCGCATGCACCTGGGAGGGTATGCCATTGTGTGTGGTGCAGGGATAAGAGGAAGATAAAGGTAGAAAAGGAACAAAATGTTTGGTCATTTCCTACCCACTCACTCTGCCCTCAGCCCATCCCAGCCCTGCCTGGGATTTCATGTCCTGGGCACTCCAGGTGCAGGAGCCCATGCGGGTAATAGCATCAGCCGTTGGCACCACCCAAAGCTTGGGGTGGTTGACAGAGCAAAGAAGCTCAGACCTGCACTGCCTGTCAGAGAAACTCTGTCACATGTCTGGGTGTCGTGATAGGCTGGGGAGTTAAACTCTAGAGCCTCTGTGATGGGCAGATATTTTTTGTGTGTGTTGAAAGCTTTAAGACCAAAAATGGAGGCCTCAGAGAAGAAATCTGGCCTCAGGCAGCAGTAACTTCTGCCTCAGTTTCTGGCCTGCCAGCCTGTTCTACAGATTGTGGGCTTGCCAGTCCACACAGACTAGACAGCCAAGTGCTTAAAATAAAGCAAAGCAGTGTGTGTTGATATGTATACACAGATACATATATGTACGCTATATAAACATATAGCCATTTAAAAGTATGTGACTATAAATACCTGTTGGTTTTTATTTTATTTTATTTTTTTCAGATTTTTTGTTTTGAGACAGGGTCTCATAAAGTCCAGGCTAACCTCAAACTCATTATATAGCCGAAGGTGACCTTGAACTTCTGATCCCCCAACACCCCAGTGTTGGGATTGCAGGCATTGAGCCACCGAGCCTAGTTTTACTTCTGCTTCTTTAGCAAGGCAACAGATCTGCCTCCAGTGCAGCCGCCTGACCTCTGAGCCCTGTCCCTAGGCTGCTGACACTCAGATTTGTCTGGCCTTGGTCCTTTAGCTCCGGGCCACTGATATCTTAAAAACAGATTTAGGTTGGCATGTTAGGACAGAGAGAGTATTAGAAAACCATAGGCTTTTCCTCCCGGCCATTGACTAGAGGTGAGTGACAGCTGAGTAAACTACTGCCTATAGACCAAATCCCACCCACTGCTCTTCTATGTCAATAAAATTTTATTGGCACACAGCATCTGCTTCCATGCCACCTAATGGCAGAACTGAAGAGCTGGGACAGAGAGAGCATGGTTTTTGATGTCTGTAGGAGAGGGACATTCTGGATTTGGTCCCCTAGAACCACCCTTACCTGGAGTATCTTGGCTCACTGGGCAGGGGCACAGAAAGAGAGGTCTGGTGTTGGACTCTGCAATCCTAAAATCAAACAGGCCGAGTCCCAAGAGCACTCTAGAGACACTGAGCCAAAGGCCCTGTGGGTTCAGAAACCCAAGGTATCTGGAGCTGGCTGGCAAGGGCTCATGATTAAGAAACCCCAGGTTTGGGAAAGCGAGTCCCCGTC